GGTCCAGATGCTAGATCTGGCAGGGTCAGCCTTATGGTGGATGAGGTTGGAAGTGCATGATGTTGGATGGGCTAGTAGTTAGGTTGGCAAGGTTGAACTGGCAGTAGCGAGCAAGGGGTGATATTTGGCACTGACACCATGCAACTCCTTGCAAGCTCCTTACAGCAGATCTAACTTTAACATTTCTTATAACCATTCTACACTTTTAAACTTAAATTCTAAATCTGTAAAAATTACTAATAATGTTCTTTTCTCACCTAGTGCACGCCCTGTGCAATGTAACCTATATGCCTCCAAGACTTTTTGATCTGTACATTGTTGCTTTCTCTGATCTGTCTGTCCTGCTCGTAAACAAAGCTTTTCACTGTACTCCATTGCACATGACAATAAATCAGTCAATCAATGTTAAGACAGGGGTGTTCGGGCTCAGAGCAGTGTATTTGGAGTGAATCAGTGGTAATTTACATGTTCAGATTAATAGCTACCCATAAGTTAGAATAGGTTTTCACTGCTGTAATGTTTCCTGAGTAACTATTAAGCATAAGTGAGTCAGAATCCTCCAAATTCTCTGAATTTAAGGGGCATGTTCAGAAGATTCCAGATGCGGGGGAGTTGCTACTTGGAATTTTCAGTTTCCCTGGCAATTCCCTTGGACTTAGCTGCGTGAGAATTTCCACATTGTCCCAATGCACAAATCCTATCTACAATTATCTGGCCATCAGAATATCAGGACAATAGTCTTAAGTAATGAAAGTCAGAAAGAATTATGTTGTGACAAAAACTGATCACAAACCTATCACAGAGCTCTATTCTAAACAAAGGATACAAAATTTAATTCCCCATGTCAGAAGATATTCTTCAGACCGCATTAAGGCTGCCACATACAGTAGAACCTTCAAAATCTTCAGGGATAGAGGTTTTGCTGATAAGTGGCAGCTGCTGCCCAGTAAAGATATCCTTGAACTTCACGGTAACTAATTCAGTTCCACAATCTCTTAATGTAATTCATGTTGAACTGTTATTAGGATAGGCACTCATTATGAAATGCTATTTCATCTTTATTGCCTGGAGCTTTTTTTCAACTATTCCTTTGATTTTCTGGTTAAAAGATTAGCTTCATGAAATCAAAGGAAAATATTTATTCCAAGGCAGCAATGCTATAAGAAAAATATGATATATAGAGGAATGGATTTCAGACTGGGAAAAAATCTGGGAAGAAAGAAGTAGGTCTTGAGCTAGTCGTTTCCTTGACAATATGAGTCTAACTTATTTGAATCTTAACAAAAGCAGCTAGACTAAACAATTGAATTGGCTGCCTCTAAATTCTGAATATTTTTAAAATTGTGGTCACTGAATTTTCCATAAAATTAGACTAATTGCTTGTTGTATTTAGCCAGTACTCTAAAGCCAATTCATTCTTGGAGCAGACCAAAGCATAACATTAAACAAACAGAACACAGAAATGGAAAGCAGTCTATTCAGCCCTACCTGATCTGTGGCTTCAACCGTATTTGTCTGCCTGCTCTATATCCTTGAAACCCTTGCCCAACAATAATCTAATGATTCTAGTCTTGCAAATTTAAATGGAATATAATGAAATCTGAGTTTATATTGGGTACAGTACATTAATTAACCTCAGGCCAAATGGCCTCCTGTTCCTTGTTCATCTGGATGCATGATTGAACAAAATGCAAGATCAGGCTGTTATGTGACAAGTAACATTCATGTGACACAAGTGCCTTGTAATGATCATCTCAGTAAGGATTCCAACCATGTCTTCTTGATATTCAGTAGTATTGCTATTGTTGAATTACCCACACTGAACATCCTGGAGTTGTCAGTGACGAGAACTAGAACTGGGCCAGCCATACAAATGCTGTGGTTACACTAACAGGTAAGAAGCTAGGAATTTTGTGGTAAAACTAACTGTGATCAACAAGGTACAAGTGAGGAGCGTGATTGAATATTCTCTGTTTGCCTGGACATGTTTCAACAATACTCAAGAGGTTCAACACCATCCAGGACAAAACAGGATTTGCCGCTTGACTGGCACTTCACCCACCACATACAGCATTCAGTCTGTCCAAAATTGATGTGCTATGGCAGCGATGTAACATCTACAAGATGGAGTGCTGTACCTCGCCAAAGCTCCTTGGAAAGCACCTTCTGAACAGAAAACCTCTAGTGTGAAGAACAAGGGCAGCAAACACATGGGAATACCATGAACATCATTTTCTGAAGAAGGGTCTAGGCCCGAAACGTCAGCCTTCCTGCTCCTCTGATGCTGCTTGGCCTGCTGTGTTCATCCAGCTCTACACCTTGTTATCTCAGGAAAACCATGAAGTGCAAGTTTCCTGATAAGTCACACACTTTCCTGACATGAAACTTCATCCTTCTTTCTTCACTGTCATGCTGAGACAGTCCTGGAACTCTCTACGTAATGCAGCAATTCAAGAAGACAGCTCATCACTAACTACACTAGAACCACTGGGGATTGACAATAAATGCTGGCTTAGACTCTGAATTAATAATAAAAGAAATCTAAACTAAACAAAGGGCCAAGATCAGCTAATCTAAGTTTGAGCTTGACCGTCTAAAATTTCCCATTCCATGGCAATGCCCAATGAAAATATCCACTGTTCATGTTTGTTCTTGGGACAGAAAAGTGGTTTAAAGCATAATTCTGCTTTGCTAAATATCAATCTATAGTTCATATCAGTTTGAGGAAACTGCAAATTGGTCAGATTGTGTTTTTTAAGATCTCATTGGCTGTCATATTAACAGGATTCAATAACCAGTTTACAGAATTGACCAGTGTCTAAGTGCTAGTTCTTAGAAATAGCTTATAAGACCCTGGTCTTATGAACAACATGGTTGATTTTTCTTTCTTATCTACAGATTGTGGTGTTAGCTTCCAAAATGTTGTGCATCTTTTGAGTGCAGTTTTATTTTCCTCTCTGTTCTGATTAATATGTAATAGTGTCTGTATTTAAACTAGCTTCCTTACCTTTCCTCCTCCTGGATTTCAGAAAAATTGTACAATTAAGTGACACATTTTTTTCCTGCAACTAGTTTGCACAGCTGTACAAGCTAACACTTACAACGCCTAACATCCTGCCTGAAATATAAATGTACAGGTACCTTTCTACATTCATTATGTGAGAGTTACTACAGAAGAAGCGAAGCTAAACAGAATTTTCTGCTAATTCACAAAGCTGAAGAGAACTGCTTTGTGTGTGTACTCTAAATTAAAAGAAAAATAGACTTTTCTGCAATTCACCAAATCTTGTGGTTGGTTGGCTCGCCAAGCTGGTTCATTGTTTTTCCGCAGACATTTCATTACCCTGCTGGGTAACATCATCAGTGCAGCCTCTGATGGCTGCAAATCTACTCTAAAACCTTATTCATCAAATCTGGTAACATGTAACTGAAGAGTTCACTTGTGTCAGTCATTTACAACCATCACGAAAGGCCCTAAAAGATATCAAAATCAATGGAACGTTGAATATATTGAATTACCAGTTCTTCATTTGTCCTTAAATTTTTCAATCTTCATTTAACAATGTATGGGATCAGATAAGGCAAATCACATTTATATCCAAATAATGAACTGTTCTTGAGCCCAGATCTTAATACCACTGGTAAGGGTAAGGAATACCTGTATAAATAAACTTCTTTCTGATTAAGAGTAGATTAAATTCTCCGGCATTCAGATTGACTACTGACATCACTTTGTTTTTTAAGAATAAACTACCTTCTGAGAAAACATTTCAAAGCATGTATAAAGCATGTAGATTGACTTCTAAGCCGTAGTCAGCATTTTGTTTTAACTTTTCCTGAGGGCTTCTATGTTGATTCGAAAATGTTTAATTTTAGCTCTTAGCTACAGTAAGTCCTGTTAAATTGAAAGATATCAAAAACGTGGTAGGTAATGTTCTTTTTATAGTATCTCCTGCAAGCTCCTGAACCATCTTACCGCCAATCCTGTTTCTTGAAGGTCTTGGTTGCCACACATTCTGCACTCTGATCCTCCAGGTCACTGTCAACCCTTCTTCCCAATGACGCTACAGATTGGGGCCTGTCTTTAACCCTTTTAACCCACCCTCTCACTTCAGACCCTCAGACTTGCATACTCTCTTGCTCCATACTTGCCCTTTCACCAATCCTTGTTTTCACCTAACCTCCTATTCAGGATTCTTCCATTCACTAATTCCTGCTTCACAACTCATTGTGAGTTTCAACAAGCAGCACTGCATCTTGTGCTTCTTGAGGCAAATGGGAGCATTTCTTAAGAATAAAGTTGATTGTAACGGCTCCAGTTTGGCACTCTTGCAACATTGCGGCCTGCACTTTCATAAATCCAGAGCTTTGGCCATGAATTGGATTTGGAACCAGATTAACTGATAACAAAATTTCCGGAGAGGGAAGCAGTGAACAGGAGAGTTGACGAAAACAACACATTGGAATTTTGGCAAGAAAAGGGTGGGTTAGCAGTCAAGAGTGGCTGCTCCAAAATGGTGATGATTGGGTTATACGGTCCCAAGTTAGAGCAGTAGCAAATGACTTTGAAATGAATCTCACAATGCTAAATGTGACCTATTAAGTGACTGATGTTAAAGTAAAAGAATGTTAAATAGGGCAAAATTACACAAGGACTTAGTGTACTTAAGGACCCTTTTTGCTCGTTCCATCTTTGCCACCACTGTTCGACCTTTTAGAAACATAGAATCATAAAATTTTAAGTTACAGAAGGAGGCCATTTGACCCATCATGTCTGTACTGGCTTCCAAAAGCGCTACCCCCATTCTCCAGACCTATCTCCGCAGCCCTCTAAATTTAGCATTCCTGCATCCAGGAAAAAAGTATACATGCATTATTTTTGCAACAAATCTACTTTGTTTCCATTATATATAGTTAATGGAAAAAGTACTGATATGATTCTATTGTCTTGTTATGCGAAAACAGTTTATTTATGAAACCAAACTTTACTGTTGGTTTAGGTACAGTGCCTTACAGAGGAATGAATAAAGTAGGAGCTTTTAGGTATGTATTGGAAAGTCTATCCCACATTTGGAAATACAGCAAACTTTTTTTATTAACTGACACCTAGGGGACCAGGAGTGATCAAATATTCTGGATAATCAAAAGATATGCTATAACCACAGTAAACCCTGACCAAGTGAAGCTTCAAGACATCAACATCCCTCAAAAAATCTATGTAAAAACATCAACACCTCCTAAAATCAATGTAAAAACACAAAGTAACACAAAGTAATGGAGTGGATATACACATCACTGTTATACTTACAGCATACGTACTTACTGGCTTATCAAGTGCCGGTTGATAAGGTGCCGATTTAAACAAAGTTTGCTGTAGTCTTATCAAATACTGATAAATTGTTTTAACTAGTGACCCGTGGTCTTCTTTTTATATTTACTTATTACAAAAAGCAATGAAAGCAAGTGTTTTCATGTAAAGAAATGAGGAAGATGTTGTTAAACTTAAAAGGGTTCAGAAAAGATTTACAAGGGATGTTGCTGGGATTGGAGGGTTCCTGGAGTTTCAGAGGCTCAGGGGGTAAACTTATAGAGGTTTATGAAATCATGAGGGGCATGGATAGGATGAATAGCCAAGGTCTTTTTCCCATGATAGGGGAGTGCAAAACTAGGCGGCATAGGTTTGAGGTGAGAGAGGAAAGATATAAAAGGGACCTAAGGGGCAACCTTTCACACAGAGGATGGTGCGTGTTTGGACTGAGCTGCCAGAGGAGGTGGTGACACAGGTACAATTAGTCTTTTTCTGTGCCGCATAACTTTATAACTCTATGACTCTATATCAGTTCAGTAGAAATTATTGTGGATTTTCTATGATCACTGTAAGTCATCCAGTCTCAGGCAAGAATGTGTTAACACTTCTTTAAACTGTGACATATTGCATAGAGCTTTACAATAAAGTTCTGCTGTTTGTATACACACCCATCACAAATTTATTTACCTGTCAAGAAATGGTTGATTGTATGGGGCACTGCATTGTTTGTTGGCCACACAGTATTCTGGCAATGGCACTGAAGACTTAGGCTAGCCATGTCTCTTGCCAAACTGTTACAAGAACATAAGAACTAGGAGCAGGAGTAGGCCATCTGGCTCCTCGAGCCTGTCCCGCCATTCAGTAAGGTCATGGCTGATCTTTTTGAGACTCAGCTCCACTTACCCGCCCGCTCACCATAATCCTTAATTCCTTTACTGTTCAAGAATCTATCCAGCCCTGCCTGAAACACATTCAGTGAGGTAGCTTCAACTGCTTCACTGGGCAGGGAATTCCACAGATTCACAACCCTTTGGCTGAAGAAGTTCCTCCTGACCTCAGTCCTACATCTGCCTCCCTTTATTTTGAGGCTATGCCCCCTAGTCCTAGGTTCACCTGCTAGCGGAAACAACCTCCCTGCCTCCACTTTATCTATTCCCTTCATAATCTTATATGTTTCTATAAGGTCTCCCCTCATTCTTCTAAATTCCAATGAGTATAATCCCAGCCTACTCAGTCTCTCCTCATAATCCAACCCTCTCAACTCTGGAATCAACCGAGTGAATCTCCTCTGCACCCCCTCCAGCGCTAGTATATCCCTTCTCAAGTAAGGAGACCAAAACTGCACACAGTACTCCAGGTGTGGCCTCACCAGGACCCTATACAGCTGCAGCATAGCCTCCCTGTTTTTAAACTCCATCCCTCTAGCAATGACAGACAAAATTCCATTTGCCTTTTTAATTACCTGCTGCACCTGCAATCCTACTTTTAGTGATTCAGGCACAAGGACACCCAAGTCCCTCTGCACAGCAGCTTGCTGTAATTTTTTACCATTCAAAACATAGTCCATTTTACTGTTATTCCTACCAAAATGGATGAACTCACACTTATAGTACAGCACAGTTATAGTTATAGTACAGCTAAAACCCTAGCATCTATCTAGCAATATGGGAAATTGGCCAGATATGTCCTGTTTATAAAAGGCGGGACAAATCCAACCCAATAAATTACTACCCAATTATCACTTCTTCATCTTCAGCACAGTTATGAAAGGGGTTAAAATTGAATCAGAGATAGTAGGAACTGCAGATGCTGGAGAATCCAAGACAACAAGGTGCAGGGCTGGATGAACACAGCAGGCCAAGCAGCATCATAGGAGCAGAGAGGCTGACGTTTCGGGCCTAGACCCTTCATCAGAAAAGGGGGAGGGGAAGGGGGTTTTGAAATAAATAGGGAGAGAGTGGGAGGCGGATAGAAGAGGGATAGAGGATAGGTGGAGAGGAAACAAACAGGTCGAAGAGGCGGGGATGGAGCCAGTAAAGGTGAGTGTAGGTAGGGAGTTAGGAAGGGGATAGGCCAGTCCAGGGAGGACGGACAGGTCAAGGGGGCGGGATGAGGTTGGTTGGTAGGAGATGGAGGTGCGGCTTGAGGTGGGAGGACGGGATAGGTGGGAGGAAGAACAGGTTAGGGAGGCAGGGACGAGCTGGACTGGTTTTGGGATGCGGTAGGGGGAGGGGAGATTTTGAAACTTGTGAAATCCACATTGATACCATTGGGCTGCAGGGTTCCCAAGCGGAATATGAGTTGCTGTTCCTGCAACCTTCGGGTGGCATCGTTGTGGCACTGCAGGAGGCCCAGGATGGACATGTCGTCTGAGGAATGGGAGGGGGAGTTGAAATGGTTCGCGACTGGGAGGTGCAGTTGTTTATTGCGAACCGAGCGTAGGTGTTCTGCAAAGCGGTCCCCAAGTCTCCGCTTGGTTTCATCCAGCCCTGCAACACGCAATAAGAACCAAAAAAGAATCCCCCTCGTCCTCACGTACCACCCCACCAACCTCTGGATCGAACGCATCATCCTCCGACACTTCCGCCATCTGCAATCCGACCCCACCACCAAAGACATCTTTCCCTCCCCACCCTTATCTGCTTTCCGGAGGGACAACTCTCTCCGTGACTCCCTTGTCCGCTCCACACTCCCCTCCAGCTCCACCACACCCGGCACTTTTCCCTGCAACCGCAGGAAGTGCTACACCTGCCCCCATACCTCCTCCCTCACCCCCATCCCAGGCCCCAAGAAGACTTTCCACATTAAGCAGACGTTCACCTGCACATCTGCCAATGTGGTATACTGCATCCGCTGTACCCGGTGTGGCTACCTCTACATTGGGGAAACCAAGCGGAGACTCGGGGACCGCTTTGCAGAACACCTATGCTCGGTTCGCAATAAACAACTGCACCTCCCAGTCGCGAACCATTTCAACTCCCCCTCCCATTCCTCAGACGACATGTCCATCCTGGGCCTCCTGCAGTGCCACAACGATGCCACCCGAAGGTTGCAGGAACAGCAACTCATATTCCGCTTGGGAACCCTGCAGCCCAATGGTATCAATGTGGATTTCACAAGTTTCAAAATCTCCTCTCCCGCTACCGCATCCCAAAACCAGTCCAGCTTGTCCCTGCCTCCCTAACCTGTTCTTCCTCCCACCTATCCCCTCCTCCCACCTCAAGCCGCACCTCCATCTCCTACCGACCAACCTCATCCCGCCCCCTTGACCTGTCCGTCCTCCCTGGACTGACCTATCCCCTTCCTAACTCCCTACCTACACTCACCTTTACTGGCTCCATCCCCGCCTCTTCGACCTGTTTGTTTCCTCTCCACCTATCCTCTCCTCTATCCCTCTTCTATCCGCCTCCCCTCTCTCCCTATTTATTTCAAAACCCCCTTCCCCTCCCCCTTTTCTGATGAAGGGTCGAGGCCCGAAATGTCAGCCTCTCTGCTCCTATGATGCTGCTTGGCCTGCTGTGTTCATCCAGCCCTGCACCTTGTTGTCTCTTATGAAAGGGGTTGTTGTTAGTACTATCAAGTAGCACTTACTCAGCAATAACTTGTTCACTGACATTCAGTTTGGGTTCTGCCAGGGCCACATTTCAGCCTATTCCAAACATGGAAAAAAGAGTCCCAGCCACCAAGAAGGCTAGTGAGAAACATTCCTGACATCTGCTCCACAGTTATTGATTTGTGGAATTTTAGTTAGGTAGAGCTAGGTCTACCCCATTTGGTGGACATGATTTTGGAGAAGCAAATAAAACTAGAGCCAAGATTCTGGATTTTTTCACTTCAGATATTTATCCAATTCTTTTTGATGTTGTTATTTAATTTTCTTCTATCACCCTTCTCGGCAGTACAGTATAGATTTTAACAACTTGCTGAATAAAAGACATACAGTTTTATGCCACATTTGTTTCAGTTGAGTTCAATCTGATTCCTCTGGTCACTGCCACTTTTTCCATAAGAAATAATTTCTTCTTATTTCTGTCAGTTTTTCCTGTATAATGAGCAGAGTCTTTCCAGACCCTGAACAGCATAGGCTATGGCAAAGAATGTTGAGCAAGGCCTTTCTTGAATTCAAGCCCAACAAGTTGCATTTCTAACCAAGTCCTGGGCATCAAAATGAGATTCTCATTAGTGAGTGGTGGGAGGCTTAATAGTAGGGATTATCATTTGTTACCACCCTCATTTCTAACTAATCTCACCTCAGTAATATGCAGGCTCTCATTATCCCACTCACTGGATAGAAGCGAGATACTGAGAATTCCCATCATGAAAGTCTGAGCAGGTATCTGGTGACTGCAGTTTGCAGCTTGCTTCACCGGATCTTAATCTTGTACAACCAGAATCAACATCTCAGTGCATAGCCCATGGGCAATGGCTAAATGCACACCAGGTTCACAGATGCTAGCATCCAATTCGTGACAGCCCCTTGCATCATCATGACACATATATGGTCCATTTACAGTACACTTCTGCGCTTCAATGCTGCAATTTGGAGCACACTGGCACTATTCATTGGAATGCTCCTGCAAGGATACTTTGAGCATTGGGACTGGTGCCCAAGCCATGGACTGGACCAGGCCACATCTCAAGGCTGTTTGTTTGCTGTCTTAGTGCTCACTCACTTTGAGCCTAACTGGATATTCACAACATCCCTGCTGAGCTTTGTCTTGATTTTATGCTTTGC